CGGTCAAGGCCCGAGGTGGGCTTAATAGCCGGCGACTACTGTATTGTACAAAACAGGGACAAGGGAGATCCGGCATTATAGGTGGCTTTGCGATAAGTTCCAGGAAAATTGGGGTTCCGAGGGAGACTAGGATTACTGTCGAGGTTTGGATTAGGGCTAGCGTTAGGATTAGGACTAAAAATAGGTGTCTTTCTGAAATTTAGCGCATGATTATCTATTTTACTGAGAGGGGAGACGTGCTCATATGTATCTATCTTGGCGAGGGAACCATAAAACGATTGCCGCCCTACACAAATATCGATAATTACAGTAGGTAATGCAATTAAGGAAAGGTGATCATGAAACTGTAGATGACCAGTCTGTAGTATATCGAACGTTGTGTGTCTTCCAAGTTAATGAACTAGTGCCGGAAATTTCTTTTTGCTCACACATAATGTGTTTTACGCACAAAATGCTTGTACACTGCGCAAACAGACGTATATTCAGACAGCGATCTATACTAATAACCGTAGGGAACCACATCTGTACATTCTTTCGTGCTTTTCTCGTGGAGACCACTAATCTTAAAGAGACAGGTTTGAGGAAGCAACAGCCACCAGCTGCAAACTTGATTTTTCCGTCCACGTAAATCAAGCGGGGCAAGATATGAATAAGCATAACACAGTAGTTTAGTTTTAAAGGTCCTGAGTTGTGAGAGCCTACAATATACCCCAGACTGGCACTTCACGGAGTTATTTTATACATTATTTCAGTTGTACTGTTTGATTTGCTCCATTGTTTGCGTGAGCATGTATGTTGTGCTTAAGCAAGTAAATTTTACCTAACCGAGAAGAATTAGTGTATTTTCGCTATTCCTGTTTTGTTTAAGGAACTTACTATTCCTATCTAACGTAATCCTACTTTGACAACTTCTATGTTGTTTTACTTTACCCGACTACCGTTCATTATTACTTTTGGGATTCGGTTGGTGCATTTCGGTCGTTTTCCGATTAAGTAGGAATTTTTGTGGCTTACGACAATTACTCCGAAATTCAAATCACACATAAATTGCCCCTATATTCTCACGCGATGGTTCACCCATCAAATGCAATGAGCGACGTACTGAATTCCAGACTAGCTAGTCACAGCAGACACACGTCGTCAGAAGTCCTTAAGCTGTGCGCATGGCAGTCTCAGTTGAGAGATTTCCCATCCGACTGACTGTCAAATATGTGGTTTATGTGGTGTATTCGGGTGTGTTTATCAGTTTCCGACAACATTGTATCCCGAAAATCCGCCAAAATGCATTACTTTCATCAACAACCCCCTCTTTTTACTTGCTCGCTCGATTGCCCTGTCAAAGGTCTTATACTGCGCAAGGACCTGAAGCAATACAATATCGACACAAATGCAAGTTTGGAAGGTACGGCAGCCTGCCGTTAAAAGGAGAAAAGAGGAGGGGATAGAAAACAAACCAAAGTCAAGTCGTAGTCATCGCCTCCGGTGCCCGCCTGGGCGTCAGGACCGTTGGAAGCAGAGCCCCCCGGATGACCAGAGAGCAGACTGCCCGCACCGCCAGTTTCCACCTTCCTGCCCAGGTTGCTGCCGATTCCGCTACCACTGGGCGTTCCACTCAAAAGACTCATTGATCCAGGACCTGCAAAAATCGAGATTAAGTGTGCCAGTCTTGGAGGCGGGTGACCCCGAACTGAACATGAGACTAAACTCCCATACTACCAGTGAACACAAATAAGCAGTAACTTCTACACGAAGGGTCTGAGGAGGTATTTATTTACTTAAAGAAGGACAACATCCTCAGGGAAACTAACCTCCGAAGGCATTAGAGACTTCGGGGCTGGCATCTCTTGACCGCACCTTCTTGAAGGGATTGGCTAGGCGGTTCTTTTTCCCACGGCGATCACGCACTTCCAATGTGGAAGAAGCCATATCCTAGGTGTAGAGAAGAGGAAATTAGGGGGTATTTTGACAGTAGGCAGATAACAGGGGTTAAAAAGCTTTTGATTAGGAATACCTGAGCAAGGAGGGCCAGGTTGGTCGGATCACCAGGTATCCCCATAGGGGAATGCGGGTAAACCTCGGGTTCAAACTGGTGTCTCAAATTGTCCAGGTTGGCGTGACGTTCTTGTTGCGTTCTAATTTAGAGAGCCAGAAGTTAAACACACAGAGTCAGTCACTCTAAAGTAGTCTTGTAAAGGCGTAATTTCCGGGGTTTAATCATTCGAAAAAATAAACTGACGGAACACGAAAACCATATTCCTATACAAACAGGAACCATGAAAATCGTTGCTTCGTACTGGGTTCCTCCTACTCAACCATAAGATTTCTTTTCCCTTCAGGCATGTGCCCGGTTTTCCATAATCTGCACAAAATTTACTAAGTAAGGAACAGCCTATCGTAAAGTTATACTTATCTTAAGGCTTAAAATTAATGTTATTCTTCGAAGGACTCGGTAAAGAAAGTTATGCGTTTAAGCGTTCTGTGTGTAACTTACCTCGACGGCAAATTTTCAGGAAAAGACCTAACACTCCGTCCATGTTAACGTTTGATTTACGATTTTACTACAAACTGCGTGTTAGTAAACAGACGTTATTGGAAACGGTTTTCTGCACTTGCTTTCCAGTGGGCCATCCCACTTGCCATTTTTAATCGCTCACTTTTCAAACCAGCTTCTATGTGTTGGTATCAATGTGTAGGACTATTGGTCAAGTCGCATAGAGTGTAAGCCCGCCTTCCGATGGCCTGCCAACTTCACTATTTTATTACTGCCGAACTGCAAACTAAAACTGCCAACCCGTCTTTTGACCAAGTCCCTTAATTTAATCTATTTTTATCTTTCAACTTGGCTTTCTATCATTAGCAAAAGTAACTTTTTGTTGATTATAGTAGAAATAGGTAGCAGATCCAGATCATTTGGTCTTACGCTCCTATCTACCACTTTACTAAAGACCACAATTCGAGGTAGGTAGGTCTGGGGCTCAACAAATACTCGAAAAATGACAATTATTTGTGGAAATACATGCAATTTTAGACATAATTATTTCTATTTTTTACCAATGCAAGACCACCCTAAGGCTTAAGCCTCCGCTATCTGTGAGAGTCCGATCTTATTTGCCGCAAATCCTCATAATTATTAGGGGGTTTTTAGCACAGGTGAATAATTATTTTGATCAGCTTGTGAAAAACTCGGCGGGATTCGAACCCACGACAATTTGGGCATTCAGCGTAATGCACCAGAATTGACGAGTTTCATGCGTTGCAGTAGGCTGGCGTGAGTAACTCGAACCAGGTGTGACTAAACTCGCGACTCCCGGGGAGGCCTTGTAGCTTCCGTGGTTAGAGGGGTGGCTGTACTAACGTTTGGGGTACTAAGCCTACCAATGTTTGCACAAAGCCGAGTCAGCACCGCAAGAGAAGAAGCAGATTAAACCGGAGGAACTGTAAACTTACCGAGTTGTGAATGTGCTTCTGCATTTGATACCCAAACTCAGGCGCAGGTACTCCACCGGGTGCAGGCCCGTAGGACTTGGTGCCTTGGCCAATATGTTTATCGTTGGCGGACTTAGAGGAGTGGAGGAACAAAGGAAATAGATTGAGAACCATAATTACACCGTAAAGTGCTATATTATATAATTTTACTAAGGTTTGGTCTGTTACAGACCGATGAAAGTGGAATAAAGCCTAAAACAGCGGTTGTTTAGTGCGAAGAAGAAGATTCGATCGTTGGGACAGCACTTTTATTCGCCGGACGGTTGGACATCCGTCGCAGATTCTTCATCAGAGACATGAGCAGGAAGCAGTAAAAGAAACGCGTTTATTGCCTTTACCAGCTGTCCACATCCTTGCATAATATCAGGAAGGCAAAAGCAAAGTGCGCAGGTGATCAACTAGTAGCGGCAATACCATCGCACAGAGGTGCGCCAGTGTCTGGTCACTTACTGCCTCTGTTGCTGTACACTGGATATCAATTCCGACAAGAGCAGGCGAACAATCGGCTGTGGGCTTCTCAGGGCAAAAGCTCCAAAGAGGCTAGTAGGGCTCAGGAAAGGAAGACTACGAGGGACGAAATGATCTCTCTCCCTGGTAAATTTCGTTTCTCTGTCAAAAAGGGCATTCCAAGATCGGGTACATTTATGCCGTCGAAGTGCCGCCAACGGTGTTCAGTTGAGATGATAAGGTTAGTTATTTCTTTCTGCAGACAGCGGATCCAGACGGTCAAACGCACACAACTTGAATGGAACGGGGTCGGGAACTCAAATCCGGAACTTATTGTTTTTCTCCATTTGGAAGGTGGTCTACAGTATAGACGCCACTTTTTCGGAAACATCACGTTGCAAAACACTATTTACGATTTGAAAGGCAGTATGCGGTTAGAAAAGGGCTGTCCTACGACCTTCACGTGGCAAACTCTTCCTCCGCTTTACAAAAGACTGGTCTTTCTGACGGATGGAATTGTACATCGGAAGACCAAATGGTAGGAAAAGGGTCTTCTGGAGAATATATATGGTCTGGATATATTAATGGTCTTTTAACTGCACACGAGTCGCATCGAAAATATTTGCTGTTTTGATGCACAGACCGAATCACAGCATCAAAATTTACGCAAGAGCAAGTGCATAAAGAATCAAAAAATACAAGAGCAAAACAAGGTGAAATGCGAAACAAGTTATTCTACTTACTATGCACTGGAGACCTTGGTTTCGAGGCTCTGATGATTCTTATCGAGGTCAACAAACAGTGACGGATCAACTTTGCTGTACCACATTGGGACTGGTTGGCTCATATTACTAGAAAGAGGAACAAAAAACAATATAAGTTAGGGAATAAACGGAGCACGAGGGGTTGCTGCTCCCACCAGGGGGGGATGGATGAGGGTAAACAACCCGTTACACTTACACGGCGAATGGACTGTAGCCCTCCTGCAGACCGCACACAGTGAAGTACCTGAGGGTCTGGACAACATTTCCAAAATTGACCTTCACTTGTTGTCCTGAACCCAATGTGTATGCGGGAACATAGCCTACACGAGAAAAGCCATGCATCAGAGAGTCGTATATGCACACATAAATGAAAACCACCACAAACCATAAGATCGTGAAGATGTTTCAGCGGCAGGAAATTTCACGAATTAAAGATTGCAGTGTAGGATATTGCCCACAGTTAAATGAACGTAATAGTGACAATTTTAAATTGCACACAGATGCTCAAACCTGTCGATGGGAATGAATGCTAGCCGGGTCGTTAGGTAAATTAAGATAAATGCAATCAGAAGTAGTAGTGAAAATTGGATTCCCAGTTGGTAAGTCTGAAGGAGAAAGGGTATTCACCGGGAAAGGTTTATTTGATATCTGACGTTTCGGGTAGTTGTCTCTTCTACCTATCTTCAGAGAGTGAATACTCTGACTCCCAGTTTTCGCTATATACCACTGTTTTCTTCCGCGAGCGTAGTCTACAAATTCCGACCAAGCCGCTCTGTGTGTCTCGCGTCTCGTCAGTTATAGGAAAGTGCTTCTGTCTCTGTGTATGTCTGCCCAGATTCCCCTTTTCAAAATCATCGTCTCTACTACTTCATGGACAAGAGATCGTCTCAGATCCATCCAGTAACCATTACTTTCAGGAATTTAACGTTAGGGGTTGTGTTCTTTCAATCCTTAAAACTAAATACGAAAAAGAGGAGCTCGAGTTGAGTTACCTACCCCCGGGGCCGCTGTGTCTCAAACGTGACATGCAAAAGAAGAGACGTTTTAAGTAGCATCGTCGCCTACTACAGCTATATTCCTGGACTTGTTCCGCCTACTCGACGTCCACATGGACTTCAGCCAGTAAAAGCACTAGTTTCTCGTCAAATAATAATAACAACAGCAAAATTTGCAAGCTATTCTCATTGTTTGCATATAGCTGTTAACAGAAATGGAATCTTCTGTGGATAAATCAGGACGAACTCTAAGACGCTCCATGCCATGTAGCACAGATGCCAAAAACAATAAGGAAATAAGGTTGATTTTGTCTACTATGACGGACGGACTACTGCGTCTGCACAGGTTGTGTAAAATGCACACGTCCGCTGTAAATTTTGTGGTGAATTTGGGCCCAAAAAACAAAGGAGTAATTTCGAAGAGATCCTAAGCCTTCATAATTTTCAAAAATACGCTAAAGTTTAATAACACGCACCAATTCCTGGCTTCAGATCCTTGAAGGCAATCTCCTGGCCCATTGGGTCCATCATGATCTCACCGTTTAGGGAGAAGGCTAGAAATAAGCAAAGAGGATTTTGTTGGATATAAGTGGCAGGAGAAAGGGACCACCGCCTGGTAGGCGTACGGACAAGCGCACTGCTAACTTACTGATATTTCTTTCAGTTAGATTCAGCATACAGCCGATAACATCTCCTGGTTGACAATATTTTCCGTAAGCGACGCCCTCTCTGTGATACTTCCGTGCCTATAAACAGAAGAGGCGTGCATAAGGGCAGCGTAGGTTGCCCAATATAAACTTGAAAAATAATAAGTTGATGAGGCAGAAAACTTATACTTCCAGACAATCGCTGCCGCATCTGTTAATATGCAGTTGAATAAGAGGTCTCGAAATTATATGTCGTCATTAAATTTCGTTTTCTTCACCGCCTCTGCCTCGTTCAGATTTATTCCGGGAAAACAGCGCTTCAATAATCTCTGATTGGCAAGATGTATCAGTAATCGTCGCTAATTCAGTCCCGAATCAGAGCCGGTTGGACAAAGTGAGACCTATGCTCATTTGTCTCTTGCAGTCAGGCGTCGTTAACACAAATCAGAGCAATGAAACGCCGCTTACGTATAAGAACGTATGCCCTCATTCCAGTGATACCTCGTATGTTCGCGTTGCTGGATTTGCGAATTCATGGACTCAAGAAATTTTAATTGGAATCTGATGAATTTGTATCCAAGAGCTTTTTCAGAAATCTGCGAAATCCTTGAAAAGCCCTGCCAAATTGCTTATTTTTAATTATTGAAGTGATTTATGGGTCCTCCTGGAAATCTCAACCCAACTAAACAGACTTAGACAAACAAAACCTAGTGGAGAGAAATTGCGAGAGTTTTGATTATATCGGTACCAACCTGGTCGGGAGCGAATGCGTAGGAAGAGCCACGCATTCCGATCACCACATCGGGAGGTGCGAGGGCAGTGGCCCATCCAACGCGAACCATGCCGGAGGTGAGGAGCTCCACTTCGTAGTACCTGGACAAGGCGGCGGGAGAGATTACGCAGGGTCAAGGCCAACGCAAAGCAAGCATGAAGTAGCTTAGGGGGGGGATCTAACTTGACCCGTTATACACGTGTCCTTAACCGACAAAAGTCATTATTTTTCATGAATTAATGATGATATAGAACGGATTAAGAATTTCTGCCCCATTTTTGACTGTCAGATATAAGTCAATGCCAGGCCAGAAGGATATGGTGCAGTGAGAGTGAAAATGTCACTTCTTTCCGTCCCGATTTTGTGATGTGTTTGACTGATGGCGGCAGGTAAGTCAAAAATGTAAATTACAGTCACTCCTGTGGTTATTTGTAATAGTTTATAACAGGACTAATAAGAGTGGAGGCAACAAAACAATAAAGCATTTTGATAGGCCTAAAAAAAACATCAAAATCAAAGTGTCTAAAAAAACCGCTAATTTAGTACGCGAGTAAGTGTATGGAGGTTCCTTATTTCAATCCATTTGCACGATAAACTCTGAGAACTTCTGCCTTACTGGTGACGCGATAATATTGTGCAGAGAGAAAAACCACAGAGGTAACAGTTTCGCCTCCTGATGCAACTTTTGGGACTTCGTCTTGGGGTAATTTTCGTTTTAAAGAACTAGCCTATGACCACCACTTTATATATTGGCCCTCCAAATGGACTCCCACTCTTCAGGCATCAGATCACCTGCCGAGGTTGAGTTATTCAACTACACTAAACATGAAGGCTGAGCAAGTCACCCAATGCATAGTCAGCACGTTAGGCCGCTCGATATGATCGTCAATCTGGTAACTATCATTTCTGCCTTAACTGTTATCGACAGCCACCAGGGACCGCGCGCGTGGACAGAGAAGACCAGAGGTTTGAAAAAGGGTTAAGTTGGACAGCAAAATTAGCGCTTAACCATTTGAGCCGCAGATAACTATCTGACGGCTGCCAAGTAAAACGGTTGAAAGGGAGTGCGAGTGGCATTTTTCCGTTAAGATTTGCAAATCCTCCGTAGTTCTTGCAGGCGGCCGCATAGCGATAAGTTTGTGTGATGCTCTTTGCTATTTCTTTGTTTCCGTACCATTTAGCTGAGCTTCGCAAGCCTTCAATTTTCAAAACATATACTCCGGTGGCGTAACAAGCGGTACCTTGAAAAGTACTGCTTTTTTCCTAGGCGAGTCTGTAGCTATATATCACATCAGCGGCATTTGCCATTTAAATCGCCCAACCATGGGGCTATCTAGCTCCTAAACTCTGCCTGTGTGCTCCAAACTTCAAACTTCACGACCACGCAGATATATTATCATCAACCTGTACTTCTTACCATTTGCCACGAGTCACTGCTCTGGTGACCTGAGCTCGGTAATTCATGGTCTTCTCCTCCAAATCTCCTAGGGCGTTTTGGTTACCTAAAAACAAAACAAAAAATAAGTGGAAATTTGTGAGACGACCAGATTCTATTCGTCGTTTACTCCACCACTCTGACCAGTGCTGGCAGTCTTTGAGAGGGAGCCCTACTCAGACTCACCGTGATCGGGAGATTCGCCGGACATTGCTTCAATGGTGTAACCATAGACCAGGAGAGTTTTCACACTGTCGTAGGCCGTTTCTCTGACAGAAAGAAGGAAGTAAAGGAGTCATAAGCCTTTTCTAAATGAGAAGCAGACAAGGGAAAGGTCTGGGTGGGGGGCGCCAGAACTCACCGATTCGCCCGTTTGATGTTGGCATTAGTCTCACTGTAGGGTACAAGGTGGGGACTGCGTTTGAGGTTGTTGTCCTGCAAATATGGGTGGAGAGAATGTGAGAATAGTTCTATGCTCAATGAAAGTAAAGCAAATGTGAACATATATACAGGCTGGAAGGGTTCTTAAGCAGGCGCCTTCTTCTTCGAAAATCTAGAGAAGAAAAATAGCTGATTGCATAGTTGCCTACGGCTAAGTCTATCTAGGCTCCGGAATATAAACCATCAAACCACCTCAGAATTACTGATCTGCGAGGTTACCAACCCACGTTTTAAATTGGCTCTAATAACCAAAAGACAATTCATCGTGTCTTTGATGATATACAGGTGACAGTGCTTGTTTAGGTGGCGTTATTGTATGTGGTTCACTTCGAATTTGTGCCGTTCTCGATCTAGCATACTCGTTGAATAAAACTGGCTCCTAAAACGGACTACGCATTAGCCATGGTGAAGAGGGCTGGATTAGGAAACTTTAGGCATTGCTCCGACTGAGCAACCATAACAAACGCCTCACATGGCAGTGTGGTGGCGCGCCTAGATGCAGAGTCATGCCGTGACTCTCGATCCACGGATCCAATGGCCAACCGACGCGGACAGTTGAACAGTGCCTGGGAGAGGAAACAGAGAGTCATGTTGACCCTATGCACTGCCACCGCATGGCACTCAGTGTATACTCTTAGCTGCAAACAATCAGACAGGCTATTAAACTACCACGGCGCCCTACTGCACGTGACTGGGAAGGCTGTCACCTGATGGCATAACTCGGTCCTCTCAAGATGGAAAGTCAGACTGTAATGGTTCCTTTTTTATATGACCATTATATCGCTGTAGATTATGTGCGAATCGAGATACCCCAATGAAACTCGGTATGTGTGGATCCGATAGTGTTTTCCACGTGTTGTTAAGCCCTGTCAGACACAGCAGCTGGGCGTGTCCTGGTAACCGAAATATGGTAGTTGTAGGAATAGGGAATGAGGTAGATAAGGGAAAGTCTGATTAACTATAAACACCTTCGTGCGCGAGTGACGACTGCGTCCATCTCACCGCTCTGGATAATCGCTCCATTGTAAAAAGAGACATCTAAAATGTCAAATCTCATCTCCGCTCATCTTGCTGAAAATTCAGCTCTAGGACACTATGAGCTCGACATGGAAAATGAGGTTCATGTTGCGGAAGTCGGTTTTGGCGTAGATTAATGCATGCAAAAACCCCCTATAATCGACTTAGGCGTGAGTACCATGAGAGTGCTCAGTTTGATTACGAAATTAATGGATGAGCTAGTCTAGTTTCTAAAACAACACCATGTAATTTTGTCCAACCAACCTCCGTGGGACCGTAAGTCCAGCCCTGCGTAATGCGATCTTTCGCCCAGATGTTGTGGGTATTCTCAGCCAGTTGGTCCACAAGAGCCTCGAGACGAGACGAAAGCCGAATAGCTGACAAGTCCAGAGGTTGCGGCTTGTAGCCGTTCGTTTGGATAAATCTGGATTAAGAGGAGCATTGAAATCAGTGCAGAATTGGGGGAGTGGGAAGAAAACTTTGAGGGCGCCCAAATCGCTCATTTAGAGTTTGAACTAAATATGTGGA